TTCCGCTACTGATATTATGCCTCTTCTTGAAACGCTCTTCCCAACTTTTAGAACAAGCAAACTCTTTGTTTTTGATTTTACTCCCCATTTCACTAACATTTTCTTGTAAAACACTGCCACTTATGGGAACGTTTTCTTGTGTTTTTTGAGTAAACCACTTAATAAGTCCCTTGTCAACCTTTTCATGTGCAGATAATTTGAACTTCCTACATCTAACATTTGTTTTGTCATACGCTGATAAAATGTTTTCTCTGTTTTTCCATATTGTTGCAACATTAGACTTTCCGAGTGCTAATTCCTTACAAATGTCGCTCTGCTTTACTCCACTTTTTATTTTGTTAATAATCTCGTACTTTTCATTTAGTGAAAAAGCTTTGCGTTTTTGTTTTTCTATTCTAAAACGATTTACATACATAATCTCGCTCTCACTAATATAAAGAACTCCGCACGATTGGTGTTGCTGAGCGTGGAAGTTCGTTATAAACGGAAAGTGAATATTCAACTAACCTAAAAAGTGATCGTCATATCCGGAAGTTCGTTATAAACGGGTTCGTTATAACCAGTAAAAAAATACGTTGGTCTTTCTGGACGACGTTTCAATTAAAGGAAAAAAGTTTGTTTTAACCGAAAGTTCACTATAACCGGGTTTATTATAAGCGGACTTTACTGTATATACCTATAGAAATATTTTGTGAAAGTGCTTTCCTATACAGCGAGAGTTCACAAAAATAAATACTGAAAGCAAAATTTATGCTTATTGTATTCCAACAAACACTTAACCCACAGAAAAATTGATTTTTTTTAATAAGGTACGAAGAATTTGTTCAAATCAAATGTTACAGAGCAAATATAGTTTGTTATAATATAGTAGTTTATAGTTAGTTTTTATTATGCTTGTGCGTATGCGGTGTTTAACACATTGTGTGAAACCCACTTATAATAAAACTTTCCTGTTCGCACTAACTAATTTGTACATTGAGAAATATCGGAATTGAAATATTGCAACGTCTTTTCACGCTCCGTCTGATCTCGTCAGTTGACAACTAGTCCATTCGCTAATCTTCTCCAACTTGACACTCTTCCGATAATGCATCCAAATAGTGTGGGGCGGAGACATAGATTAACTAAGCGGAGACAATCTAGACCTGAATCCGTCGCTGGATCCACCCAGAGTTTGAATTGATTTTGTTGCTAGCGGTTTAGCTGAGATACCTAGACAACAGCCAGTAGGACCCCCGCAGCTCCCAGCAGACACAAACCCCCCCTCCAGCCCAGATGCTAGTCTAGGAGGAGACGCAGCTTCTAGTGGTCATGCGAGAAGTGCTGAAATCTTGGTTGGAAGACAAAGTTAGACAAAAGCTACTCCTGCAACTCCCAGGCTAAGTCCACCAAAGACACCACGAGTGCAGCAAGCTACAGCTCAGAAACGAAAAAAAAACCTGCCTGCCGCCAAAAAAGCTCCCCAAAGCCTAGAAACGGGGAAAGCCGGCCAGGACCAACTGGCCCAAACTATCCAGCCCATGAAGATGTAAATACAGATTGTTCATTCGCCTCTAATCAAGCCCAGATATCAGCCTGCTCAGCAATCAACATGAATAGTTTGAAAATGCCCAGATCCCTATGTGCCAAAATAATCTAAATTTTAATTTGGAATTTTAACACCCTTGCCGAATTCATAATTGGGTTTAGAAGAAGAAATAGGTTTTAGGTTCTGAAATCCTTCGTTTCTTTATAAAACATCGTTTAGTTTTGTTTGTAGAATTTGTCAATTTAAAACCGCCTCAGCCAATGGAATTTGTTGTATCTAAAGATTTTATGGTTTCACCTACAAACTCTAAATAAACTTTTTATAAAAGTAAATTTTAGACTTTTATTGGTCAGTTCTCTGTTTTCTATAAAGACATGCCAATCTTGTCGGGTATGTACCTAAGCTTCATTTTGAAAAATTGTCAAAGTTTCATCACCTTCAGATTTTGAGGCGCACCATCGAAAAACATTAACATTTTTTGCATAAGGCACAGGTTTAGGAAGGTAAAATTTTGTTAAGGTTTCATTTATAGATTTATAAATCTGGAAAAAAGTTTGTTATTTGTTGCTTTCTGTTCTTTCTAACAAGTAAAATCACTTTTGCTTAGAACATTCACATTAAGAACGCTAATAATTAGTCTACAGTTTCATCTAGAGTAAACCAAATGCTAATGTTACCCACTAGTGTCTTTCTCTGAAAATTATCAAATTCGAAGTTGATGTTTTACATATTTTTCCCAACCGATCATTTGAATACATTGTTTTCATTAAATTGTTAATCTTATTGAAACGAAATAAAAAAAGGTTCACGTAAGCCAAGAAATTGAAATAAGCGGAAAAAGAAAAACACAGAAAAATAATTAAAAAATCGGTCAAATGACGTGCTGTTGCACATTTCGATCAAATTAGTAACAAAAACATTTATTCTTTAGAAAAAGTATAAACCTAGAAATCCGGGCTCTAATTAATAACGCAAACTGCAATTATTGGCATGTAAAAGTTTTATCTTTCCTACTTATTACAAAATACCATCGTTTTCATAATTTTAGAGCCAACTATTTAAAAAATATTGCGAAAACTGTATCTTCAGTTCAGGAGTTCTCCCTTCAAATCATTCCTGTTACCTAATGCTCACAATTTTTGGGGTGTGCTAAACACTCTATAATTAATCTCTGAAATCACCTCCCAGAATATCGCAAAGTTGTTACCAAATCCTTCTTTAGTACAAAATTGTAATGGGACCGTTATTTCAAACCTTTTCGAAATTAACGCAAGATCCTAACATTCAAAATCAATATGACTACAATAGACATCTTTATAGGGCTCTTTTGGAGTAAATGTTTTCTCAAGCTCTAGGTTATATTAATCGCCATGGGTACTTTTAGAAATTGTACTGTTTAGTTAAGTAAGTACATACAAAATTTGTAATTATGTTTCTACATTGGTTCAGAATCAATATAAATGTTTCCGAAACATCCTCCCATACCTAAGATGTTTCACATTTTCAGTCAAATCGTTCGTTCTCCGTATTTTCGACTCATTGTGTTTATAAATAGACCATGGCAGTGCAAGCAAGATCGGACACATACATATTCTGAAAAGCATCTAACTGTATTAGCGAATTTATCAGGTGTGTATAAACGTAGGCTATTTCACTTAATTGCTTGTAACCAAACAAATGTGTTTATTAAATTAATGAAATTGTATAATTTCACTTTTAACATTACATTACAATAAGCGAGTGCTCTGCAAAGCCATTAAACAAATTGGATGTCTGATACTCACGAACAGCACGACAATGTTGCAAAAGTTGTTAGTGAGAAAAGTGCTCTGTTACGAAGTTTTTCCACGCCTGAAGTTCAAATTTCACGCTTACCTTCGCCTCAGAGGTGAGTACATTTTATATGCCTATGACAATTTATCAAATGAATCCCATGCTCATGTACAATTACCGGTGATTTTAAAGAATTGCTACTCAGGGATTGTTGTTCATCGTTGGCGTCACTGTTCTAGAGAATTTGTTAGGACTAGTCGAAGTGTGTGGTAACAGTATATACATATAGTAACATTTAGCTCTATTTCTGGTAGAAAATCTCTGAAATTGAGATTTCATTTTTAAGTAAACCAGTTATTAAATATTTGCAAAAATCTATAAGCTTATAAGGCTTTCCGATGGACACTAAGATCGGCTTTTAGATTTTAGTGTGGATATTAAGCGAGCGACAAGTGATGTTCGATGTTAAATATCTATCTAAATATTTTTAAATGATCTAAATATTTTAATTTGAAAATTATGAACATATTATTGAAGTGGTAGCAGGTATTCCCTCTGACGACAAAATACCATTCATCTGAAATCGATTAATAAAAATCGCGTTAGAATCTAAAACTTCGCATGTTTCCAAGCCAAGTCAGACTTCGCGCATGTTTTCTGTTAGAAACAGATATCGATTAAGTGCCCAATTGGTCAATTCATATTGGTCTTGGCCAGAAAAAAGTAAGGGTGTGCGACAGTTTGGCTGATGCTCCCAAACTTGAAGTTTAAAGGAAAACTATGACCAGTGTAAGTTTCTTACTGCATTCGCGCCGCTTCACGACACAATCCATTTTATGTTAATAATACTAATAACTTTGTTTATGGATTTGAAATATTTTGCTACTTTTTATACAAGGGAAACCATCAGGAAGAAGCATTATTTTAACCACGTGTTCTAGGTTCGAAAGTAACCCGTTTGCTATATAAATAATAACTCAAAAATGCGTCATTAGGGATTTACACGGTGTTGAACTTTAAATTAAAAAATTCGAAATAATAAATTTGGTCAAAACGCATGGATATATCTTCAAATGATTTTGTTAAATTTTACCAGTGGTTTGCGTACCTGCCCGCGACCGAAATCGATAAGAAAAGAATGGTGCGCCAATGTATATTTTAAGCATTTCAATTACTTTCCAAGTTCCTTGTTTTATTATAAATAAAAAATATCTTGATACTAATTAAGTATTACTGGGAAATTTAATTAATTTATTTATGGTAAAAAAGTAAAGTTTTAAGGCAAGGTAAACGATATTTTCAAATAATCACACTTGAATATCAACCAAAGCAATACGTAATTAAACTAACAATGCCTAATTTAATAGTAAAAAAATCAAATTTATTTAGTTGCAATTTTAGAGATATCTATGAAGACGTTGTAAAAGAAAGGTGTCATTCTCGACCGACGATTGTAATACAACGAAATTCTACTCGGTCAGAAACAATGCAAGATGAATCCACAATGGAGCAATTAGATTCGCAACCTTATAGCGAAAATAATAAAAATGATCTCAAATTATGTTGCGAGTCTAAAAAGAAAAAGTGTCCCCGTTCAACTGTATTTTTTCAAGATGGATTAAGGTATGTAATGGCTATTTACAATGGAAGTATCTTAACGACATAATTTACAACACCAGCTATCAAATTTGACTTCGTGACTGTAGGTAGAATAATGTGAATATAAGATATTGTTCGATTGATAGACAAGCTTACAAAATGGGTTTGATTCATTCAAAATCGGCGTCAAACTTTTCAAGTGGTGACGCGAATTTACTTGGGAGCACGAGAAATTAATACGAGAAGTAAATAAAATAAAATAAATATGTCAGTATTTGTGTTATAAAATTGTGCCAATTAAATATTAAAAATCTTCACAATGTTGGAAATGAAGTACTTTTTGAAGACTGTAAATAACTCTAATCATGTTCATGATAAAAGCGGCAATTAGTGCGCGTTGTTTATTAAAAACCATCTATTTTCTTCTGAAAAATGGAAAGATGCTGAAGACACACGCACCCCGTATCAAGTAATAATTGAGGAATCGAATTTTTCTACCATTTTCATAACTTTGCACATCATATTACAAGTTCATAGTTCTGTGTTAAATTATGTGGGGACACACGTAACTTGAAATCTTCTTGTTATAGAAAGATATAAATGTTTTTTTCGTGCTCTGTAAATATGATAAAAAAATTATTTTCAACTCTTAACATGACCAACTTTGTAAACAACCAACTTGTAAAAATACTTCGATATAATTTAGGCATATTAATTAATATACATTAAATTTAATGTTTCAGATCGGTCGATTTTGTATTGGTTTGGCACACAGTGGAATCAGATAGTGAATGCGATGCATCTGAAAAACGTCGTATCTTTGAAAAAAATTTAATAGACGAAGGTTTAGATTTGGAGTATGAAAATCAAGAAAGCAGCAAGCTGAAATTTGTTAAGGTAAGTCCGCACTAATTTGGCTCAATTTCTTGAAAAAACGCATTTGAAATAAGCTTATAATTCATGCAGATACATGCTCCATTAGAAGTACTTAGAAGATATGGTGAAATATTAAAATTACGAATGCCTATGAAAGAGGTAAGTGGAGGACTTTATATTCGTAGAGATTAAATAAATTATTACTAAGTAGTAGCGATATTACAAAAGTAAGTCCGTGTAACACAGAACTTTGAAGTTGTTATTGCTTAGTCCATGTTTTCTAAAAGTTTTAAATTTTTAACCACTGGAACATTACTTGAAGGTAAAACATTGGTGTCGATTCGAAGGCCTTAAGAACATTTATGACTTTTAATACTATTTATGTACGTTTTTGGCGTTGTTTGAGTCTTTACTTACAGGAATATTTATAAGAATTCAAAAGGAAATTTTAGGGGTTGCAAAATTATTGTTGGTGAGTTCAATATCCATTTTTGTAGAGTTTTTCAGAATTGAATTCTTCTGTTTTTTCGCATTATGGAGTTTATTAATCCACGGTATTAACTATGAATTACAACTTTGTCACACTATCGAGCCAATTAATGACTGCTTGGTTTAACACCACCAAATGAGTATATGCCAAAACTCCCTATGCTTCAGCTCATAGTGCGAAAGCTCAGGCATTCTTTAGATCTCTGCACGCTGAGAGGTCTGTCCTCAGAAGCTCGTCTCGTATGTATCTATGCTCAGAAGCATGCACTCTGCAGTTGTGCTTGGAGTGATGCGTCTTGCTCGAAAACATATTTATGTTTAGAAAATAGCGACAAGAGTAAAGCGAAAATCTAAGTGCAGGAATTTTAGGCAATATTTTCTATTCTTCCAGTAGTAAGTACTTATAAAAACTGCTTGCCGGCTTGGTAATCAATTTGATATTTATGTATTGAAATAAGCGACAAGCAAATATCCCTAAAATAGCTGTAAATGCAATTTATAGAAAGTATTATAAATATTCCACACATTAATTAACAATTCAGGCGTCTGAACTAGTCGAATTTGGCATTTTTTTATTGTAAATTAGAAGCCAAATATAAAATCAACCATAAATTAAAATATATACCTAGAGTTTATGTCGAATGTCTTACACCTACTGTATTTTGACCAGTTCATATGTGATTTTATAGGGTACGACACTAGTATATAAGTTTAATAGCCAACCTATGATTAATCCTTTTCCTACTAACTGACCTACTTTACAGCACGCATTATCCTAAATTCTTCACTTTTTCTTGCACGGCTTCCATCACATAGAATAGTGTCAATTACTTTTATTTATTATTATTATTCTTAGGATTTATGTAAATTGCCCAAAGAATACAGACTGAATATATTTGGCAATGCGAGTGCCTATTTGACGCAAAAGGTACTTTTGTTTATTAAGGATTTCATTGAATTGTGTTTTTTTTTGTTTTTTGCACGCGTAAATCTGTAAACTTTAACCAAACGTTTGAGCGCTTGACCTGTATTTTATTTATTTTTATTATATTTTGGATTTTATCTTACCTTATTTGCTCATCATTAATACACCTGACCCCAAATAATGGTTAACATTCAACTGAGAGTTTTATCAGAACTACTTTCTATTTACTGGATAATGTTTGGTAGATTCCCGCACTTAGACAAGTCTCACATCGAACCAATTTTTTTGTGGAAGGTGTAAGTGAGCAGTGGGCCAAAGTGAAAGAATGGATATTTCTTGATAAAGACAAATTTCCAGAAAATGATCAACAGAGGTTTACTGCCATTTATAGCAGAGATAGAGAATATTTGTAAGCAATAATTGTATCCTTAGTCCGCAGTGTAATGTATATAAATACATACGTTTTTAGATTTGATATAAATTCTCCATGCTTTTTCACATCGGCAATTCATTCCCGTATAGTTCAATTTATTTTGGATAGAAAACGTTTTTCCGACAATCGTGTTAATGATTTTGCCTTTGGCATGGAAAGACTTATAGATGACAACGTTTATGCTGCTGCATATCCATTGCATGATGTAAGTTCTGCAAATATATTTAAGCTTATTTTGTTCTGAATTGCAGCTTCGGACAAAGCATTTCGCCATGCACAAACAGCTCTCTAACTTGCTGGTTTATAATTTCCGAAAAAAAAATGGAAAAATTTGCACCTTATCTAAACTTTCAGACAAAGACTTTTATAGTTACACAGAGTGTATGAAGAAGCGTCGGTAACTTAAAACGTTCTTTCTTAATCGCAATTTTTTATATTTCTATAAATGAATTTTTTGGCAGCCCAAATATGAAAACTAGTGGGTGATTTCTAAACTTTGAGAAAAAAATGTGTTGGTTCTGTGAGCAATTCTATCTTTTTACCTGAGGTAGGTTGCTAACCTGGCCCCAGAACTCTCCTCTTTTAACCGGGCTTGAGACCGGCTGAGGTCGGATTCGAGCTACTCGACTCACTCGACACCTTCCTTAGACAGAGTTTCTGAATACCTGGGGATAATTGCTCCAAGCAGCAGAAATACGTATGACGAGGTGAAAACACAAGTACACAAATCAGCTAAAGAATCTAAGAATAACATTTTAAGTTGCGACGATTTCCAGACCCACCCGCCTGCAATTTTTTTTCTGGAATCATAAAGAAACAAGTTAAAGATCATGTCCGGCTACTAACACTTGTGCATAACATACTGATGATATGGGAATCGTTGAACCGTGTCATTAATAATTTGTTAACATCATTTTGCACAAAGAAAACTTCGGAATCCCAAAAATACTATTATGCTTCGTTCAACTAGTTACGAAAATAAAAAATTCTATAATATAATAAACGACTGATCTACTGTCGTACAATAAACCGCTTAATAACATTTTTAGGGCGATCTTACGACAGAAAACACAGTCCGGAACTTATTATATACGGAATGGGCTTGCTTAGGCAAATGGTACAGATATCAACCTCTGGATTGCATTAAAGAGTATTTTGGTGTGAAAATAGCCTTGTATTTTGCTTGGTTAGGCTATTATACTCACATATTGCTAGCTCCAGCCATAGTTGGTCTGGCTTGTTTCATATATTCGTTAGCGACAATGTATAGCCACAAGCCCAGGTAAGAATGCTGAGTAAAACTATGCAATCACTCCATGTAAGAACAGTAAGAACATATCATTTACAATTAACAAGATAGAATTAATTTGGAAATCGATACCTTGTGTAATTTATTAATTTCTAAGCACTCAACATAAAATAATCAAGTGATCAAAATCGCTCAGTAAAAAATCAGTAAAGTTGTTTTGAAGGATATGCTTAGCCCATTTAGGTTAATAGTTCATTATCATCTTGCAGACTTGCCGTTGTTCCATTATTGGCAATAGCCTTACAAATTTATTCAGCATTCTGAATTCCATAAAGTTACAAATTTTGCAAATTTTATAAACTGGTTGAAAGTCAATTAGGTAACGGCCGAAGTTGTTTTTCATGGCACCGTCTGATGAAAAACGCCTTCAACTCGTCTTACTGCTGTATTTATACTATCCTGCGCCTGTGGAACGATGGTGGGTGCAGAGTGGGACAACAGATGCGCGCGCGTAGCTTCAATTTCGCCGGCCAGTTCTGATTTAACGCTCTAGCTTTTTCCTTTCTGTTGCACTGGCACTTTCTGTTAACTAGGCGTTTAAAAACATAAATGGCTTCCTTCGATATGTTTGGTTAAAAATCGTTGATTCGTTGAAGATAAACTGGCCGTAAACACGTTCCGCTAGTTCAAAATTTTCCATCTGTTTCATTGTGTTGCTCTTCTTCTGTTCCGCTGCTGTTCGCTCTGGCAGCTGCATGGAATGCTGAAGACGTCAGAAGCTGTTAGATGATCTATTTTGTCCTTGGCTGTCCTAAGGCTCCATTTTATTGTCCTTGTCGGTTTTAAGACGATTGAGGATTTTTTAACATTTGCCCAGTCGCGAGTCTCCTACGTACCTACCGTGTATCACTTCAACACTTCAGATTTTGCAATATCGCCAGCGTGTCTGGATCGTATCGCACTTGCAAGGCGCTCGATCAGGATGACTCATTAGGCGATTTGCATGAAATAATGAGAACTAACTTTTTTAATTGTAATATAAATGTCCAGTTACATTTTCACTTTGACATAAAAGTTGCTGCTTTAGTTAACCAAGCAATCCTTTTTCCGGGGACATCAAAATCGTCATGTAACGTGGCAGTCCACAGCCCGCACAGCTAAGCCCTGTACGTCTCCCCACTCACGTTTGCGGATTATAATGCACTAATCTGTAGCGAGTCAGGATTGATCCGTAGATAACGTAAAATAACTGTGCAACACAAAATAACTGCCTGTTTAGAATGACATTGCCCGGTATTTTGTTTCAGCAATGATATATGTGATGTAGGTTTGGAAGAAAAAATGTGTCCGCATTGCGATATATGGTGCGATTATTGGAATATCAAGGAGACCTGTGTGCACTCAAGGATTACGTACTTATTTGATAATTCTACCACCGTTTTTTACGCTGTCTTTATGTCACTTTGGGGTAAGTAAAATGTGAACTGCACATCTACATATTTTTATTCTCTTGTTATGTATTCTACAACTGATAATTTTTTGTCACAGTGGTTTACGTACAATGTGTTTTTAATGGTATCTAGGTAGAGGTGTGCTAAACGGTTATTTTTCTGAAGCCGGTTACAACGTTCCAGTTTCACTGTGGTGTTAGGTTCCAAAGTCTGATTCCAAAAGCAACCTGTTACTCTTTACATTTTTAATTAAAACTTCGCAATGATGATGATGGTAGAAATAGTGATCATAAATAAAGATTTAGTTTATTAAAAAAATAATTCTTAGCTTTGGTACTAAATAAACTAAAAGTAATATATTCTAAAAACAAAAACAAAGCATGGGTCATAAGTAACTGCTAAAAAAAAACTGATAATAAAATCGAATGGTTTAAATAAAAAATAAAAATGAACCTTTTGCATGCGAAAATGTAAAATGCTAATTTTCAGTTAAAAATGAATGAACATTTAAGAATATTTTTTTGCGTACCTATGCATTTTACTAAGTCTAGTTCTTCGCTCGTTTATGATAGCACCCACTTTGGAAAATAATCTATATCATGGAACGGAAGTACTAATATACTTGTGCTTTTTTGTCATGAAACAAGTCTGCCAAAATCTTGAAAAATTGAATATTCTTCGTCTTGTCTATCTTTTAATTGAACTTCCGCTTACTGGTGCAGCTGGATAGTGTGCTGGTGCAAACCACTTTTCTAGACGGTTCCAAAAACAACCGGTTAAATTCGCAAAGTGAACTGCGGTTACAGGTTACACGACTGGGACACTGTTATTTAAGGGATTACGTTAAATACCGACCATCCCTAGTATCTAGTATAAATTCATATATAGCTTAAAGGATATCAATCCATTTGGACCAATTTCACAAAAAGGACAAGACGGTAGTTACATTGAGTAGCTTTAGTAATAACTACACTGTTAAAGCGCTGTTATTAAAATTATTGTTTTCATAACTACTAATTTGACTGGGCAAATTTAAAGTAGTTTTAATGAAATATTTTTGCTTTAATGAATCGTTGGGAAATTATTAAAAAATGAAAACATATTGAAACATAATATTATTCATAAAATTCATACATGATATAAATACTCTCGGACCCTTTGGTGGACATTCTATAGATTCTACTTGCAGATGAGCGTATAATAGATTCCCTATAACATCGAGCTACAAACAAACATTTTTTTTATATAAACAATAGTGTACCGACGTGGATTTTTTATATTTTAAAGCTGGATTACGTTCAATTTTTGCAGCTACAACTTTTCTGGAAATGTGGAAAAGATACTCAGCGGAAATAACCCATCGCTGGGACTTAACAGGTTTTGATGTTCAAGAGGAACATCCTAGGCCTCAATACTTGGCCCGACTGGCTCATGTGAAGCGTAAATGTGTTAATATAATAACGAACACCATGGAACCTCATGTACCATTCTGGAAAATTAAAGTACCAATGACTATTTTTAGTTTCGGTATTGTTTTGCTATTGGTGAGACTCAAACTGCGGTGTAACCCACAGAAAGTTTCCTAAGTGGTTCTCGATTGTAATAAAAATGTATAATTTTAGGTGTGTATGGCTTTGGCAACGGTTTTGGCTGTAGTTTTGTATCGAATGTCCATTTTAGTGTCATTGAAGGTCCATTCTGATAAAATGGATAACAGTTCCGCAATTTTATTTACAACTGTTACTGCAGCGTCAATAAATTTGGTGGCAATTCTTATATTTAATCAGGTACGCCAATTATTGTTTTATCTATACATATTTAATCTGGTTTAATTTTGATCGCTTTTGATTCAGATTTACAACTATGTTGCTGAATATCTCACCGAATTCGAGCTGCTAAGAACGCAGACGGAATTTGACGACTCCCTCACTTTGAAAATCTACCTTTTGCAATTTGTAAATTACTATGCTTCCATTTTCTACATAGCGTTTTTTAAAGGAAAATTTGTCGGATCTCCGAAAAGATACAATCGAGTTTTTGGATACCGACAAGAAGAGGTAAGATCGCCTAGTTGTCAAAAAATATTTATTGACAATTTTTAGTACCGCACAATATCATGATACTTCGTCAAGTGTTCCGGATATCAGAATGCTTTTGCTTTGGGCTTCATTCATTTCGTTTTTTTCGGCGGGTTTGAACTTTCAAATGAACTTTGACCGTCATAATTATGGTCAATCATTATTTTCTCCAGTCGCTGTGAGCTGAGAGCTAATTGCACTTTGTTTCGTGTTTAGACCTTCCGCATTGTCCCCATCAAACCTTTTTGGGAGTCCATAGAGCGATTTTGAAGGGATAACTTTTTCCCAAGTGAAAGCCTATCGGAATGCGTTACGGCGTCGTTATGTCTAACATAGATAAGTCGTTATCTATGTCTATCTAAGTACGCAGTTCTCTGTCGCACGCTCACAGCCGCCCGCGAGTTTTATTAGACCGTTCTTGTGTGTAGAATAGTGTGTAGTCTGAGGGCCGGTGTTCGTTGGATGCGTTTCGGTCCAAACTGCTTTCGTCAGAAAAGAGCAAGACAATGACAATATACGAATCCAAGCTTTTTTCCTAAAACACCTGAATTTTAAATGAATTTTACTTCTGGGATCCGCTGTTTTCGCGCAACTAATTGAAGATCGCAACATTTTAAACTTAAATTACGTACTTAAAACTGTTATTGGTACTTAAATTATTTAATAATATCCATATTGGAAAGATTCATATTATTCCTAAACTTAATGGCTTATTTGTAAAGATAACTATTATTTGTGGGTAGGTTGCGATTATCTAATTATGTATTTAATAAAAATTCGCAAGGATCAATTATCTAGAACTAGTACCACTATAAATTATACAATTAAGTGGTAATTACACTCAATTTCCCATTGCAACTCTAATTATAAATACTTCTGTTGTAGTGCGGTCCAGGTGGTTGTCTTCTTGAGTTATGTATTCAGTTAGCAGTAATAATGATAGGAAAACAAGCTATGAACACCGTGCTAGAAATGCTATTTCCTCTATTTTTCAAATGGCTAAATACGTTGAAGGTAATGATTGAAAATCAAAACAGGTGAATGAATGGTTGAAAACCTGCTGTAAGTTAAACACTTCTAAAAATAATTATAATACTTTTAGGCTGGCTTTTCAAGAGACCACCAGTCCTGCAAAGGATTTAGACCCCGGTGGGTAAAAGATTTTAAGTTAGTGGAATGGGGTCCTAGAAGTTTGTTTCCGGAATATTTAGAAATGGGTATGTTTTATATATATTATGATGTTTCTTTTGATAAAATTAATTAAGCACGATAATATCATTAACGAACTCATTTCTACCCAGTATATAGGTACCAAAACTAGAAATTAAAATTACTCGTAGATGGTGTGGTTTCAAGAGCTTAATTCTTTCTGGCTCATGGTAATAGACATGACATACGTGTGGTCAGAAAATGTTTTTTTTTGTAGTTTTGCAATATGGTTTTGTTACCATCTTCGTGGCAGCTTTTCCTCTCGCACCGTTTTTTGCTTTATTGAACAACATCTTGGAAATGCGTTTGGATGCTAAAAAGTTACTGACAATGTACAGAAGACCAGTGTCTCAGAGGGTCAGGGATATTGGAGTTTGGTATCGAATACTAGACTCAATTGGCAAGTTATCGGTAGTTACGAATGTACGTTTTTCTTCTGGCAGCGAAAAGTTGATTAATTTGATATAATGCGTATTTTCAGGGTTTTATTATAGCATTTACATCCGATTTTATTCCGCGATTAGTATACCAAATATCAATAAATCCGAACGGTTCTTTGGAAGGATATGTGAATAATTCTTTGTCCTATTTTAACACATCCGATTTTGAGGCCGGTCGATCTGGTCGCACCAATAACAGTATAGATACAGTTTGCCGGTAAATTGATTAAACATGATAATAATAATCATAAATGAAAATACCTGTTTGCAGGTATCCAGACTATAGGAATCCTCCTTGGAGCAGCGAAAAGTATGAACGTACAGCTCTCTATTGGCATATTTTGGCAGCACGATTTATATTTGTAGTAGTTTTCGAAAATCTTGTTGTACTAGTTATGATTATCCTCAAATGGTGCATCCCAGACATGCCTGGCAAATTAAGGGATAGGATTAGGAGAGAGGCGTATATTACAAATGAAATTATTATTAAACAGGAAACCTTACGGGCACAAAGAGCACATTCTTGTAAGTATTTAAACCATAAAGACATTTAGTCTTGGACGCAATGAAGTGTTTTCAAGTTGAACTTAAAATCCATTTGAATCAGCATTCTTAATAGGAATGTATTCTTCATATATTCGCGGACTAGTCATATAACTCCGCTATCTCTAGCTCAGTTTTGATATCCAATTGTCGACCACTTTTTTTAAATCCCCTGGTGGCGAGTAGATACGTACTTTCTCCACTGTTTTCGATGGCAAAAGTATCAATTTAACCCATTAAAAATTTTGCGGTACGATGATACGAAAGCGTTTCTATTGGTTGGCGATCTGTCAGTTCGTACGACGGCGGACGAATTGACAGATCTCCAACCAATAAACACTTTCGTATCATCGTACCATCGTATAAACGGATGCATGGGATAATACAGGCTTTAGAGCTTTTGCTGTCACAGCGGAATTTCTGCCTGATAAACTTGCGACTGCTGGCAAATATTAGCTTTAAGTCTTGCGGTTAATTAGATTCTAGTAAATTTTTAGAGTGATTTGACTTTAAGGTGTCTGGGAGTAGGAACTAGGCCAAATTAATTCCCAAAAAACGAAGATATTTGTAGAAAACTAAGTAACAATTTTTTTGGCGTTACCTGCAAATTACGTTTTGCTCATTAACACAACGTAAATTCTACGTTTGCATCATAATTTCACAATTTATGATTGTACGTTGATTTTGCAGGCTCGAATGCATCAACGCTCAGGAAACCCGAAACCTTGCAAAATATAGACGTGCCTTCTACACCAGAGCAGTGGGATAGACTGATTAGTAGCTCTCTTTCTCAAAGTGAATTTGACCTAGTAGTGCACGGAGATGAGCATCAAACTGGAAGCCATCAAATAAATAATCCAGCTACTCCACAATCGATATAACAACAGTTTTGTTAGCACACATTCAATACTCCATATTTGACTGAACTTTATTGCTGAAGATTAGTACTTAAATATGAAAATAATCGCTTCCTATTTGACTGAGATAAATCATACATCATGTTTCTATGTATTAGTACTTATACATCAAAAACAGACTTAATTTAATATAAAATTTATTAGACTTTTATGTGTGATTAAGTTAGGTAATATGTATCTTATGTAATAAATCCAGAAAGTTTGTCTGTGCCAAAAGCAGATACATTTGGTTTTCACCTATGATTAAGAGTTTTCCAATTTTCTGAACTTCAACACATTCCATTGCAAAAGGGTTATATTATACAGGGTGTCCCCCCATGGAAAACATTCAGACAGAATTAGGAAAAGTTTTAAAATTGTACAGTGTACCGAAATCATTGAACAACCGCATATTCGATATTGGGGTATATTTTGTGAATGAAGCTTCAAACTAAGTCACAACTTGACAAATGCTTGTAAATCTTGACAAAAGCTATCTACCTGATAATGACAAAAAAACACCATCGCCGCTTTAAATTTTTATGAAAAAATGTAAGTGCCTTTTTAATGCTAAAAATTTTCGTAATTTGAGTATAAGTAATAATTTTTCTTCTGAAATGCTTAAGTAATCCAATAAGATGCGAATCACACGTGGGATCATTTCAAAATAATACTCAATAATAAAGTTGAAGTTCGATTTTCAACTGGTAATATCTTCCAACGTTCGGAGCGGACAGGCACCCTAAGAAGAATATCTTCTAGAAGTATCCAATTTTGAAATCACTCTGTATATGGAAAAGCAAGCCTGCATACAGCGGCAATAGAACATATAAAACCACAAAAAATGTGTACTTTTTTAATTTCTGAGAAATGAGTCAATAACTTTCCAGAAAAAAATCCACCGCTTTTTGATTTCTCGAAATCATATGCAAAAAGTGAAAAATACAAAAAGTTTTGGATATTAAGTAGATTACATGGGTGAGTTAAACCTCTTATTATTAACGGATAAATATCCACTTTTGAAACAATCGGATAACCAACAAACACTTATTTCGAGAAAAATATTTTAAAAGTCTGACTTTAACACGCTGTAGATACCTTATTGAGTTTTTGCAAAAGTGCTATAGGAACTTGACACACTCATTTTTGCTGTAGATTTGCCTCATCAAATGTTGGTAGCACCTTTGCCGGACATCCCGTATATTCAGGCGTCGATGGCACGGACCTCTAATCGGTACTTTTTTACTTTTTTTTCAGGTTTCCGCACAATAGGCATAAAGCGTCTACTGTCGAGTTGGCCGATCAGCCATCAAAGATAAAAAAATCCATAATTCAGAGTGTACGCACAATAACTGGGGTTTTTAAGTATTTTTGGTAAACACAACTAAAATACATCTTAGAGTAATAATAAAACAATATATTATAAGTTTTCTCATTACTATAAACAAATATTCATGTACATTGTCAATAAAATACCTAAATTTATAATTTTGTTGAATCAGTTATCACAAAACGTGCTGTTAAAATTTTACTTTGCAAAAGTAAATTACAACGGCAATTAAGTAGGTATATATATCCGTTATTGGATCCCATAATTTATTGCCGATTTAATGCTTGTAAAATTCTTAAGATATATATGAACAAATTTATGATATCCATATACAAGTTAATGGTAGCCAAAATATACTCTTCAGGGGATAGAGTCTCCATAATCAGTTTCGAATCATATATGATAAACAGGCAGAAAAGAAAAGCCCCTCCAAAGCCAATCAACAGTTCGAAAATAGGGGACTGAATAAATACTTGTATAAATCCGCCGACTATTAGGATAAGTAGCCCAGCAAATAAACTGCAAATACAAAATAGATTACAGTTATGTAAATTTTTAGTTATAATTATAAATTATAGTATTCCCAAAATATTGCCCTTTCTTCCCGAAACACCCTGTATATTAAAAACATTACTTACCCCGAATGCATAGCAGAAAAGTCATGCTTTGATTGAAATGTGTATATGGTCAAGCCCCCCAAAACAAGTAAAGTTAATAGAAGAGCTTCCAGCACTATAGCCTTAGAATAAAAAGTGACTATAACTCCGATAGTGTATGCTTGAACAATCGTCTAAAAAATGTTTCTGTTAGCTTAAACTTTAGATTTTTCGAACATTCTTACAAATGCTGCCAAAAGAATCAAATTAGTTGGTGATTCTCTTCTTTTGATGTGCAAGGGAATCAAAAGAATAATACTCGCAAAAAAGCTTATCATCATCATCCAGTCACTGAAACAGATATCACGTATAAAACGCAAAACATGATAAAATGACACAAATAGCTAAATAATGTATATTATATAAAAACAACTATGTCCAGCGCCCTCATAAAAGCCACATTTTTGCTAAATAACTTCACCTCGAAGAGTTGTTCGTACATAAAGAATTTTCTATAAGGTCAGCATATTATTAATCGCGCACGCCAGGGCCTGATGGCCTTAATAATTACCATTTAATGGACAGAGCCCTAAACGTTGGTATGTATGTATTGTCGTAAGCAAGTGCTGATTTCGTGAAGACATGACCTCAAGACTGCTTTCAAGACTAGGCCTTGTCAGCTGGGTTTAGCCCCAAAAGGGCATTGCCAAAACCTGCACTTTATTTTGCCAATGCATTTTACCTGATATAAAAACATTGGATTACATTGGAACTTCATAACGAAACGGATTGGTTTGTGCCTAAGCTACCTTGAAAATAGTCAATGGTGTGCATACATAAAGCTAATTATGTTTACACTCAAACAATTCCTAAAATATTCACTACTGATATTCTTACTTGGTCTGTACAAATACTTTAATGGGTGGAGTAAACATAAAGATTGCGGCAATAGTTACAGTCAATAGTATTTGCATAGTAAGAAGACCATAAACTTTGCGAAGAAAGGCCAAACGAATGCTTTTTGTTGCTTGAGCTACATTATTCCTGTAAGCAAAATCGTTCTCGATGTCATTTTCCTCATATTCTTTTCCGCCTCGCTCTACATCCTCCGTTAGAATCAATGGGACACTTTGAGACATCTTAATTTCCTGTTCACAAACTGAAAACAAACATTTGTATTTGTCACATATTTAGTATGATTCCATATATTAAGTAACTGTGTCATAATGCTATCAGACAAAACTATTAGTATTTGATTAAATATGTACCTTTTATCGAAATAAATTGACTTTGTTTGGACCATAGAAACTTGAGTAAATGTTTGCCAAGATTATAGGAAACCTCAAAATAAATGTCTTTCATTCACGTCAACACGTCAACATCATACCAGCTGATAATGCACGAGACCTTAAAGCGGCCCATTCACACGGCAATCTACAGGGTACAATCTGCAGGGTCCCTGTAAATGGCCGCATATGCAATGCGATTGTGCCAATTTCTTAACGACTCCGAAATCGGCTAGTTGGTTATTCCGATGATACAATCGCACTGCTCCTTGCATTCCCTGCATATGAGGTGTAGAACAGTTGGACATAATTTAATATTATAATATCTGTTTCTGGTGGCCTGTGAATAGGTTAATTCATTTTAGGCGGGTTAATTTATAATTTATGAGTGTTTTAAGTCCTAAGATAATATATATTCATATTATTATAGTAAAATCAATAAATATAGATTTTATTAAACACTCATCCGATTATATATTGCTCTCTTTCTCCCCCTCTCTCGATTTCAACATACTCTCTCACGTAGTGTGGGTCAAAACGTAAACGGCAACATCGGATATCAGTGCGATTTAAGTATCGTTATTTACAAGGACCCGGGCCGGAACCGATTGCACCGTCTTATAACCTGTTTTTTTTTGGCTCGGAACCGAAACTGAACCCATTTTTTATATTAGTCACAGATTACCAAATTCTTATGATAACACACTGTGCTGAACCGGAACCGAAATATTTTATTTCGGCTTTTTTCGGTACAGTTTGTAATGTTTGAAGGAAAATAATTCTTGGATTTCTCAAGATTTCTAGGAAATTCCTCCCTCTAGAAAATAACAAAAATGACAGCGAATTTTAAGCACGTTTAACATTGTTATGAACTAGACTGATGTTCCGAAAAAAGTTCAATTCTTCCAATCCTGAAACTGACCCGAGCCAACAGGAAATTGAAACGAAATCAACTGGTTCATCATTAAACGATTAAATTGAAGAAATTTTCAGGCATACAAATTCAAAGCAAAAAGTTTTTAAAGGAATTAGTCAACACAAATTTTCTTCACACATGGTTTATTTAAAAATTGAAATTATTCTAAATTCCTTTGAAGTGGAACAAACAGCAAGAGAAAACTTGTTAATCCTGAATTATACTCATGCAAAGATCAAACACCGTACGTCCATGCACTACTTTTAAAATATATTTTTAAATTGAATTATTTTAGTATTTCGATCACCAACAAGAAAAAAATTGAAAATGAAATTCCCAAAAAAACCTACTCCTCAAAAGATTGTGAAGAGTGTAAAGGCACAAACGAGAGAAACATCTTTAAGCAGAAATAAGATTAAAATTAAGGAAATAATGGACTTGAGTAAAAACGGAATTAAGAGGGAATGAAGCGCTAAAGTCATATAACCCAGGAAAAAATACTTTCCGAAAATACCACGATTAATTTTTTTTTTGTATGCGAGTTTTTATTTCAATGTTGTTCCATTTAATGTTATCTTAATTTATATCCTTACATACGTGTACAGTATGAAATAGTGAATTTTTTGCGCATCTTTTATCTTGTGGAATACAAACAGGAAAAAAAATAATGAGGTTCCTAGATAGGAGTAGCCTCTATCTCTGTTTTCGTGCGTTGCACATATAGATATTGGAACCGAAAAAAACTGCTTTAAAAAAAAAAAAAACCGAATTGGAAAATATTTTCTAAACCAGAACCGGTTATTTCGATTCGGTCCGGGTCCTTGGTTATTTATACAACCCTGGCTACAGTATCGGCAGCATTGCAACACTGACACTGTCATTGTTCTGGATCATTTTCGCTTTTTCTGGTTTCCTTGGAATTGGTGAACCATGCAGACCACAAAACTTGCAAAATGGCGATTAAAAACTATAACTCAACAAGCATTTTTTTCTCAAGAAGCTTTCAAGTTCAAAGATGACAATAAAATGTTATCATGGACTGTGCATTCTTATGGAGGAGTTGAAGAACTTCAGTTTGGTGGAAGTCGTGTACCGATTATTAGTAAGCCCGATGATGTTTTAGTGAAAGTCAAAGCCGCTTCTGTAAATCCAATAGACGCCTACATGCTAGGTAAGTAATAACATGGTGGTTTCATTCAATTTCAAAAGCTTGTTGGCAAAATAAATAACCGCAAATTGTTGGGTGTTTCTTACAACACGCTCTTCTGTCGCACGCGCACTACCTCGCATGCACGGTACGCGCAGCTGAAAATTGCATACTGGTCAGCCATGTTGCCAAACTGCCACCAACCTAGAAATATCTCGGCGAAGGTGCACTTTATATCTGGCGGATTTCGGCGTTCTTTTTAATTTTCTCTTAAGGTACACTTAAAATAAAGCACATTGAGCTAGACAAAATACGGATGGTCCATAAATTTGAAAAAAAAACACTTACAATTTTTTTGAAAATCATGTCCAAATGACCCGGCATTTATCGTCGAAAATGCGATTGCCCAGTGCTGTATCCTGTTAAATCATGTTTTAAGAACTAACAATGATTCGACCCATAAAATTTGACCTATGTTGACCTAATGTTGTTGTGGAATTGGGTTTGTGAAGCCCGGTTGGGAGTTTCATCAATGACAACCGGTACTAATCGCAAACCGGCAATCCAGTATTACCAATTTTTAGGGATGTGTGGTCCTGGAACGAGTGGAGAAGGCCTATTGGTCCCGCCTTAAACAATTTTTTCGGCGTTTGGGCGTCCTACAGTCAACATATATTGAAGAGTATGTCGACCAATTCATGTGGTGGCAATTTTTTGGTCCGACACCTCGGGACAGGTGTGAACAATGCGCTACGGCAAATTGCAGAGCTTTATCGTGTTTAATTAGAGGTCAATAAAAGTATTGTGTTGAACCAGGCTTCGAAATTTATTTTCTTCCCTTTATATGCCAAATTATTCCTTTATAATTAAGCTTTTCTGATTTTGTTTAGTTGGAATGCAATTTTCTTTTCTACAAAATTTTATCGCAGTTTCCTTGAAAAATCAAATGTATGAATTAAAAATGCACAATGAACCTACATCGACCCAAATTCATCGCATGTTTAAACCTTACAGCAATAATAGTGAGTAGTATGTGCTTTAAACTAAAAACCATTTTGTACAGTCTGGGAACACTGCACAAAATTTGGACACAATATGGAGATTTTATTAAAGCTTGTAAATGTTTTCTAGCATGAGTCTATGAACAATCCGCAATTTTTTTCTCTGAATGTGCTTTATTTTAATTTTTGAAAATCATTTCCCAACGTCCCGGCATTTATCGTAGAAAATGCGATTGCCCAGTGCTGTATACTGTTAAATCATGTTTTAAGAACTAGCAGTAGCTGATTCGTCACACAAAATGTTCCACTGCAATAAAGTTTTTGCAAAATTTTGAATCCTATTTCAAACTTCATGATTGATTGCGGTTATGTCTTTTTATTTTGGGCGGCGTTGCATGGAATGTTGCACGGTAATAGTCAGATACCAGCTGATAAATTGGACTTCAGAAATTAAAAAGAATCCAATGTTGCCACTTATTTTACCTATGTTCATAAGGAGAAAATATGATCAAATATATCAATCAAAAATATATATACAGGCCTTATTAATGTGTGGGGTGGAATACTGGGCCAATATTTAATTGGACCCTATTTTTTTGAAGGACATCTAAATAGTTTGATGTTTCTCCAGTTTCTAATAAACCAGCTCTCAATATTATTAGAAGAAGTCCCTTTCAATATCAGAACCAACATGTGGCTGCAATTGGATGGAGCTCCGCCTCATTATCACTGCGAAGTTCGGCAATTTTTAAATGCAAACTTTCAAAACAGTTTGATTGGCAGAAGGGGTTTTAAAATTGGCCTCCCTGATCTCCGGACTTAACTCCACTAGATTTCTTTTTCTGGGGTACATAAAAGGAATTGTCTACCATATGCTTCCGACAACTTCACACAATATGGAAACACGCATAAGAGACGCTTTTAAAACTGTAACTCCGCAAATGTTGTCCAGAGTTAGCAGTGGTTTTGAAAAAAGAACTTACAAGTGCCTGGAAATGGACGGTCAACATTTCGAACATTTGTTATAAATAATTTGCCTTTGTTTTTTGTTATTGTTGATGCACGTTTGTATGATGTTATTTAACCTTTTAATTAAAAAAAACACCAAATGGTGCACAGAACCATTATTTGGTGTATTTTGTAAAAAGGCAAAAACTTAGTTATCAACATCCTAGTACCATTCGATAGGTAATTAAAAATTGCATTTTGTGGTAAGCTAAAAAGTATTTGACACATGAAAATACTATTAGATTTTGATAAAATTCGGATTATTTAAAAAACCTTTAGATTTAGACATTATAAATCTTATTAAAACAAACACTTATTTTGCTCAGAAAATCCAAAAATGTAATAATATATAGGGTATTTCATTTAAAAAAACACAACTTTGATACTTTTAGGCCTTTTTGGACACTCTGTACATTACAAAAATATTTTTAAAATGTGCACCCGATAGGCGTCTGCGGATTCATCAAATAATACTTTGCAAAAAACAAACGGGCTAGCCGCAAACGTCCGTGCCGTATAGCGTGAATAACCCTGTATATAAGTAAAAAAATTTTTTTTTAAATTACGTTATAAACCCTAGTTTCATTTTCGTCGGTCGCCATTTTAGTTTTTGTTGTTTCAGGCGGCTATGGAAAAACATCTCTTCAAGTGCTTAGGAATTTTGAAATAGAATTTCCTTTAATATTGGGCAGGGATTTTTCAGGTAAGGCATTTACAGTTAAGGTTAAGATATGTTCAGTTTTTTTTCAATATTTGTGAGGATCGTTTTACATAAATATTACATAAAAACATTCGTAAATAGGAAGTGTAATTGGAAAAGGTCATGCCGTAAGCGAGATTAATATTGGAGATGAAGTGTATGGTTTTGTACCAATCCACAAGCAAGGTACATTTGCGGATATTGCTGTAGCGTCCAAATGTCACGTGAGTTTTTACTCTTTGTTATTTGCTATGCCGACAAATTGATACCGACGATTGAAAGTTTTGCCGACGTGAAACTACGCACTTTTCCCCGATTTATTAGCGGCAGCTACGCGTAGGACAATATTCCCTGAACTGCGCATGCGAGAATGGCATCCTGTATACAAAGTTTTTCCTTATATAAATAGACTACAAAGAACCTTTCAATTTTTGTATTTTATTTAGTTTAGGAAATAAGCCAACGTTTTCATGCATAAGAACGACCCTTTACATATATAGTCTTCTAATAGATCAATAATGCTGTTCTAATTAATATGAGTTTTTAGCTCTTACCAAAACCAAAACATTTAAGCCATGAGCAAAGTGCTTCTTTGGTATATACTACAATGACCGCGTGGAGTGGTTTGTACTTATCCGGAAATATGCTTTGCAGGCAAAACAAAGGTCTGAAGGTTTTGGTTCTCGGCGGGTCTGGTGGAGTTGGTACTTCCGCGATTCAATTGCTTAAATCACAGGGGTGTGTGGTGAGTAGACTATTTCAAAATATCCAAATCAATTTGCTTATCTCATGAAAATGTGGCAAGGCGAAAAACTAAAAGGGCATCTATAACTTGTAGGGGGGTAGTAGCCTCCGATACCTTGTGCCTATGAAATAATGGGGTTCAATGTGTTATATATGATTGATACTATTATATTATTATATTATTTCATCCGAGAGTTATTGGACGCTCAATAAGGGCAGTAATAAAGTTTGTGGTATTTTGGCATATGCGCCTGCGCAATTCAGTATAAAAATACGGGACCACTTAATAAAGATTCTGTTCCGTGCTATTTGTGCAGCAATACTGTACGCTTTATTTCTACCTTATACTGGCAGTTGACATTCTAACGTCCGCTTGCAGGTCCACAGATCACTAACATCTGCGGGTTCTGTGGATTCTGAAAGCAATGAGCTAAGCATTCCAATAACTATAATTTCGTTAGAGAAATAACGCAAATGCAGCATTAAAAACGGATTAACCTTAGTACTGCATTACAGTATTTAAACATGTGGTAAAAAAAGGTTTTGCGAAAGTTGTATGTACTATTGATTAATATGAATTGTTGCTGTGATTGAATGTGCTTATTAACATTTCCGAATTTATTTGTTACCATAAGTGATAATAAAGCGCATTTTTTCGTGAAAAGGATTGTTGAGGTATGAGTCGTTTGATTCGCCTAACTTTATGTTTTAAAGAGAACAGTTGCTTATGAGGCAGCGTTATTAGTGGTGTTTTCATGTGTACAGATGTAATGACCGTTTATGAGTATTGGTGTTTATCCCAATTAATTAGATGTGTTCTACAGGTTTATTCAACTTGCTCAAATGATGCCATGAGATTGGTAACTTCACTTGGAACTGACTTAGCATTTGACAGAAATGATCCCGATTTTGTTAGGAATGTACAGTCAGAAGGAAAGTAAGTTATTTTCTTCTTTTTCTAAAGCATATAATTCAAGACTACATTTTTAGATATCATGTGATATTAGATGCATGCAATATGGGCATCGAAAATTTGCCGGCAGGCTGGCAATACGAGTCTTTTGTTACTCTCAATTCGCCCCTACTTGTGAATAATGACAAATATGGCCTATTCGGCGGAATGCTACGAAGTATTGGAAATTTGCTGAACACCAATCGCAGTAAAATCTGTTCAGGAAAGACTTTGAGATGGGGTTATTTTGTACCCTCTAGAAGAGGATTTGAATTTATTCATACATTAATTTGCCAAGAGAAGGTAATATATCAATATAATTATATAGCAGCAAAATACTGCTGAGGTTGATTCAAATTGCCTATTGTTATATGATAACCCATTTTAGATCAGACCGGTCATTCAGCAGATTTTTCCCTTTAATGAATTACCTTCTGCAATAAAGACGCTTACTGAAGGACATGCCAGAGGAAAAATAGTCTTGAACAACACTACTTGAAGAAAATAAGTAAACCACGGAAATGTCCTAAAATGAATTTTTATTTTATCATGATGAAATGACAGATTTTCTACTCTTTTGGTATAACAATGGTAAATTGTTGCGTCTTGCTGAAACGACATTGCTCGCATTCTTTATATTAAACGTCTTCTTATTCTGTAGTTTTATTGCACCACCTCCTCAGTTATTCATGCGCGAGAAAAGCGCGTATTTTAGAGGATATATTGGAACATAATCCTGACGAACCAGTCTCTGCTTACCGAAATTGACTTGCTTTTGTTGTTCGTTTATCAAGGGAAGTGTGTATGGGATAGTTGAGAATCATCTTGAATTTGCCTCATTCAGTTTCTAGTGCAACAATTTTTCTGTTATTTTTACATTTTATTTAATAGTTTGAAACCTTTGTATCTTCCAAGAAGTCCAGCAAAGTTTTGTTTTCAATTGCTGAAATGACTGTAGTGGGCTTTAACCTGTCTAGTGGACGGTCAGTCGAGACCTTTTTGAGATCAAAGACCTAAATGTGTTCTCTCAGTCACTAGCATATTTATTATATATAGCATATTAGTTAATATGGGACTTTTAGACCAAAGTGAAGTCTTAGATATCCAACATCAGTATAGCCGAAATTTCGGCGCGGATCCTTCGGCCACACGTTCCGCGTACGGCTTACAGATAGTTTGTCCTCGATTTTTCCTTCGATCACGAGTCTGAGACATTCGTACCGCTCTCCCCTCATAACGTGCTCGATGTATTAGAGCTTTCGTTCTCTAAGGGCAGCCATCAGTTTACCTTTGTCCATTCTCCTTAGTATTTCCTCGTTGGGCATCATGTCCATCATGGATATCGCGATACAAATACGTCAATGCATCTCTCCGTCGATTGACATAATGTCCAGCTCTATGAGCCATAGCGTGCACTGGGAAGATAACCTAGCAGCGGAGTTGCAAATTTATGTCTATTAGTGAAGAGGTTCCTCATGGAGATGAATGTTCTTCTGTCTTGTTCTACCTTGATCTGATCTCCATTTTAGAGCCACTGAGGACTATTGTTCTCGTTGACGAGGGCGCATATATATTTAACGGATGACACTTGTTCCACAACCTGCCGGTTAAATTGAAGGTTTGTCCGTCTTGGTGGAACTTGGAGAATACAATATTCTTATTCTTGGCAACGATCATGTGTAGACCATACTTGCTACGCTCAACGATGAGGTCCATCATATTCTGGAGCAGCGGCGGATCGAGGAGTTTCTTGAGGGGGGGCGCAGTAATAAAAGAATATTGACTTTTTGCCTACCACTAGGCCTGGGTAGTACTGTGTCTTAAGACACTTGTGTGTCCCTGTGCCGCGACACCTGACCTCTTTCGACGCGACACTTTGCACAACACTTAACATTTAATCTCATTTGATATGGCAGACTTCGGATTGCTGTTCGTGAAGATCACGCGCAGTTACCATATGGCTTCAGACCCTCTCGACGGATTATTTTCGTTATAAAGCCGCACGAACGAAAGTGCTCAAAATACTTGTCTTCTGATTACTGATATAGGGGCGTTAGTTTATACTTATTACAAGTAAACATCAACAATTATTTATTGACATATTCCCACCCCCAGGTTGCGTGGAGTTTGAGTCAAATTTACTCTAGCTTCTTCGCGTTGGGAGGAGTTTGTAATAAGTTGTCTGGACCCGCACGGGTAACACAGTGGCTTCTATTTTTTCTGAAGTTTTGTAGCACGTCTTAATTCCTCTATCGTCATACTAGGGCTGAGCTCGTGGTCTCCTAGTCTCCAGGTGGTTGGTGGGGTCGTATGTCATTGAAGAGAGCTGTTTTGCACACGTTTGAGCTTTTTTATAGATGATTGATTGGATGATTTCTGATTTATTAATTTCTATTTATTGATTATTATTAGATTGACAACTTCACTTTTTCATTGTTACACACCAAAAAAACCAGCACAAAACTAATGATAGGACGCCGAACTGACACGTTTATAAATGTTCTATCCGCGCCAACATGCCGCCCGCCTTGAAAGCCTAAGGTTTCAATGTCCAAAGGTAGTATGCACAGCTTCCTTGCAGGTCGTTGAATGGTGGAAGTAGCCGTTCTGACTGTAGCTGCCCTTACAATACCGTCCGACCCAGGTTGGACAGATATCACACGTCCTAGCAACCACTTGAGAGGTGGAAGCCCGTCTTCCTCGATGATTACCATTACGTCAGGTTTCAATAGAACTGAGGAGTTTTTCTTCCACTTGCTTCTCTGTTGAAGTTCAGGAACATATTTTCGGGACCATCGGGACCAAAACAGTTGCATTATTTTTTCAGTTCTTTGGAATTTTGATAGACGATTTTCTGGGATGTAGCTATAGTCTTCTTCAGGCAGACTGGTTAGAGACTCTCC